GATGCCCGTGTCGGGGGTCCCGCAGGCCGGCCACCCCTTCCACCTCCGCTGCGCCCGCTCGGCCTCCTCCCACGCCCGCCTGAAGCAGGAGGCACCCATCTTCCTCCTCTTCCTCGACTGCGTGTGGCAGCTGAGCCGCCAGTTCCCCTTCTCCCTGGAGTTTGGGGAACGCCTCCTCCTCACCCTCTTCGACAACGCCTACGCCTCTGCCTACGGCACCTTCCTCTGCAACAACGAGAAGGAGAGGTGAGGGGGCAGCAGGGGGCACAGCACTGTGCCTCAGGAGCTGTGCCACCATCCCCACCCTGCCCTGCGACCAGGGAAGGGGAGCACCCTGCTGTCATGGAATCAGTGTGGTTGGGAGACACCTTTAAGCTCCTCGAGACCAACCCTTCCCCAGCACTGCCAGGTCCCCACTGCCCTGTGTCCCTCACACCACATCTCCACGGCTTGGAAACCCCTCCAGGGGGGGGGACCACACCACCGCCCCGGGCAGCCTGGCACAGCCCTGGGCAACCCTCCAGGGGAAGAAATGGGGTCCTTCTTGGAGTGAGGGGGCCAAAATTGAACCCAGGATTCGAGGGGTGGCCTCCCCAGTGCCCAGTCCAGGGGGACAATCCCTGCCCTAGTGCTGATCGAAGCCAGGATGCTGGTGGTCTTCTTGGCTACCTGGGCCTCATTTTCAGCCAGCTCTGGACCAGCTCCCCCAGATCCTTTTCCCCCTTCATGCTGCTGGAGTGCTCCCAGTCACAGCAGGTCCTGACAGGGACTAAAACACATCTCGACTGCCCCACAGGTGCCTGTGTAAGGTGAAGGAGAACACACACTCCCTCTGGGCCTGGCTGAACCAGCCTGGCGAGAAGAAGAAGTACCTGAACCCCCTCTACTCCCACAACGCCCTGGTCATCTGGCCATCCGTGGAGCCCCAGAGCATCCAGCTCTGGCAGGGTAAGCTGGGACAGCGCTCCTGAAGCCCCCTTCAGCTCCCAGCTGGGCCCCCCGAGGACAACCCCCTCTGCCCCCTTCCCTCCTAGGCTTATTCCTCCGGTGGATCCGCTCATCCCAGTACCTGGACGAGGCCTGGGCAGAGATCCAGCGCTTGGTGGAAGGCGAGGGGAGCTCCAGGAGCAGGCTGAGCGGGGCCCCCTCCAACCCCGCCGAGAACGGGAGATGAACGGGGCCACGGCCGGGCCGAGGGGCAGCAGCTGCAGCTCCACGGGGAGCCCTGTGCAGGACACAGGCCCCACGGAGCCCAGAGGGTGGTTCTGGGAGTGGGATGCAGGCTCTTATCCACAGCCTGGGCTGGGTGGTTTCAGTAAAGTGCACTCTCTCTCCCCTGACCCCTCTTTTCTGCTCATATGTGGGGGCAGGATCAGCCCTGGTGCCATCACGAGCAGCATTTCAGCAGGCAGGAGCTGGCTGTGCCCAGCAGCACCCACAGCTCCCCCTGCCCCTGCCCAGCTCCCAGCCACTGGCAGAACCCAAGCAGCAGGACACTAAACCCACAGCACCCTCTCCACGGGGGACACGCCGGCTCCCAGCGTCGCATCCGTCGCTCCGTGCTGGGAGCTGGCTGGAGAAATCTGCCCTTGAACCCAGATTTGAGGAAGGAAAGAGATAACACCCCCCCCAGCAGCCAGGCAGCCAGGGGGTGAGGGGGCTGGAAGGGTGAAGTTTGGCAAGGCGAGTGGCTAGTGCAGGAAATAACTGTTCCATGACAAAGTTGGCTCAGGGTCAGTGCAGCAAATAAACAAAGCCCCAGGAGCGGGCGCGTGCGTGTCCTCCAGAAAACAATGAGTGGCTGCAGCACCCCCAGGCTGTTCACACGTCAGGGCTGGGTCCCAAACGTAGCTGTGGATCCTCCCTGGGAAGATCTGGGTGGGCAGAGGCAGCTCTGCTGCGAGGCCAGGCTGGGAGAGCTGGGGTTGTTCAGCCTGGGGAGGAGAAGGCTCCAGGGAGACCTTCTGGGGGCCTTTCAGGACTTCAAGGGGCCTGTCAGAAAGCTGGAGAGGGAGTTTTTAGCAGGGCCTGTTGTTGCAACAGGACAAGGGGGGATGGGTTTAAGCTGAAAGGGGAAGATTTAGACAAGGGAGAAGGAAGAGATTTTTGCGGCTGAGGGTGGTGAGCCTCTGTCCCAGTTTTCCCAGAGAGGTGGTCACTGCCCCATCCCTGAGGTTGGCTGAGGTTGGCCGGGGCTCTGAGCACCCTGCTCTAGCTGCAGATGTCCCTGCTCCCTGCAGGAGTTGGACTGGATGGCCTGGAGAGGTCCCTTCCCACCCAAAGCAGTGTGATTCCATGACAACTGCTCTGCTCTCCACCCACGGGTGGGGCCAAGGCACCGCCAGCAGAGCCAGGAAACCAAAGTGCTCAGAATAATCCTGTTCCAGCCCAAAAAAAACCCACCGAGGTGCTTTCCTGGTGTTAAAGAAGATTTCTGTTTATTTCCTGATAATCCTTCCCTCCCCTGTTGTATAAATACCCCAGCAGGATGCCTGGCCAGGGGCCAGCAGGCAGCCAGCCCAGCTCCCTCCCTCCTGTCACAGCTCCCCCCCGGAGCCAGGCGGGTTTCTGACCCCCCCACCTTCACACAGCCCCCCCTTTGCTGCTGCTCCCCACTGCCTCCCACGAGCAGAGCGACGTCAGGGCTCCCAGCAGAGCCCAGGAGCTGGTGGGCTGGAGGAGGAGAGGAGAGGAGAGGAGAGGAAGTCTTCCTTTAAGCCTCAAATTCAAACTCGAAGTACTGGGGGTCGAAGTAGTGGATGCGAACGTAGCCGTCCTCACCCCCACTGCTGTAACTGCATGGCAGGAGAGACAAGGGGGGTCACTGATGTGTCAGGAGCTCACTGCCTCTGGGTTTGCACCAGAGGGGTCAGGTCTGTCCTCACAACCCCCTCCAGAAACCAATAAAGGAGCCAGAAGATTAAAAAAACCAAAAGGGACCAGGTGCCACCATGAAAAATGGGCAGTATTTAGCAATAGGAGAAGAGGAAACAGCCTCAAGTTGCCCCAGGGGAGGTTGAGGTTGGCCCTGAGGAACAATTTCTTGCCCTTGAGGGTTGCCCAGGGCTGTCCCAGGCTGCCCAGGGCAGCGGTGGCGTCCC